TTTATGTTCCCCCAGCCTCTCTGGTTAGAATGTATGTTTGGTGCTAAATTTTACCTGGACAGTTAAAACTTAATCGGGCTCCCCAAAGTTTTATTTGTCATTAATGTTGGATTTTGATTCTAACAAGTTTGCTGTTAACCATCATTGGCCTAACAGTTATAAGGATCATGAGAATCATAAAAGCTTGGAGGGAATTGATTTAATCGACTTGTTTCTTAGTAACCAAATGTAGAGGGGTCAGATACTTGTATCATGAACTTGGTCAAAATGTGCACGAACTGTCTGAACACTCGCAATTAAAAAAAATGAGTCTGTTGTTAATACTGCTATTTGAATATAGAGTTTACATACTGATTAGATTAATGAGATTCGAGCGTGGTAGTGAGTGGTACAAGGTAATTGGTCAATTAGATAAGATTAGGGAGGGTATACCAAAAATTTGTTGAACTATTATTTTGCCACCGACGTGAGCATAACTCAACTAGTTAAGGTATATATCATTGATTAAGACTTCAAAGGTTCTAACTTCACTCCCACATGTCGTTGAACATAAAAAAAAAAGTACTATTAATTTGCTTTAAGCGACTTCCTTTATACCATCCATCGTTATATCAGTTTAGATCATTATTTGTGAGTATTTGACATTAATATTTTAGAACCAAAATTGAAAATTCAAGGCATAAGTACATAGATATTATTAACACAACCGTTTAAGCTGTGGAATTAAACCTATATTTTAATAGTTCTGAAATTCTATGCTCTTGTTCACCCATATTCTTCAAATTCAGAAATTCACCGTACCTCAGAAATTCTTCTGCCACTTCTATGTGTGGGCTGTTATCTGGACAGCATTATTGCTAGGAACAACTTGGATGTATGCATATGTATCAACCCCGTTAATCTCAGAGCCATTTAACTTTCCTGCCATTACCAGCCAGTTGACTGGAGGTTCAAGTCTATTTTCATGGCAAAAATCTCATTCATCTCGGAGGGAGCACAGATTCCTGGTGTGGAAAGCTGTTTTTCTGCTTTTATTAATGGAAGTCCAAGTTTTGAGACGTCTTTATGAAACGATATACACTTTCAACTATAGCCCCTCGGCTCGGATGCATTTCTTTGGATATTTAACTGGCTTGTTGTAAGTAGCTCTCTTTATTAGGTTTTGTTGCAATACATATCCGCTGATTCTACTATGGCTAGTTTTGGTATTTTGGGCGCTGCTTTAATATGCCGTGGAATGACCGAATACTAGAACTAAGATAGAAAATCTAGGCGTTTCATCATGTAAGCCATGTGTATTACACTTGTCCTACAAAAATTGCATTCTACATCCAAAATAGCCGGATATGAATTTGTTTTCTGTTTGCATCTTAGGATGGGAAATAGGTTTTGGATCAATTTGAATTTTCTTTAATTTTTACTTATTTGGCTTTTTATATCAATCATATGTAAGAATGTGGTAGGCTGCATTCTTTTGATGGGCTCTAAAACTTTTCATACATATGCTAGATTTTTGTTGTTATTTGTTATGTTTTAATCCTTACATCTAGAGGTTTGGTATGTTGATTTCTAATATTTTCTATGGTTAGTTTCTACACAGCAGCTCCTCTATCACTTTGTAGCAATTGTATTACGGAAGTGTATCATTTTGCTGCAAATGGGATAGCTCAGTTCATTGTTAAAGGCAAAGGGCAAATGCTAGATGTTGAAGTTAGTCTGTTGGATGCTGTGATTCCTCTAGCAAATTTAGGGTGGCGTCAGTGGATTGGTGCAGCTTTATTCTTTTGGGGTTGGATTCATCAGTGTCATTGTCATCAGATTCTGGTACAGTACACCTCTTCAATACAAAATTGTTTATTCACATATCAGATTTATGATCTTGATGATGTAGTTCAAATCTGCCTTCATTTCACGTTGCTCTCTTTCATCATTGGCAGAATCTTCAACAATGAAAAATGTTTGGTATTGAAAGAGAACACAGCTTTTAGATCTTGAAGGCGATAAAAAAATTTCTCATCAGACAAAGATTGAAAAATACAACGATTGAAAAACTGATTTGAGTTTGAAGGTTTTATTTATGGAACCATTTTTCCGTTGGAATCAAAAGATTTTCTTGATTGGGTATTATGCGTGAACTTTCTTTATGAATGCCACCATACATTTAAACTCACATCCTAGCTTCATTTGACTGATACATATCAAGTTAATTTGTTTAGGCCTCGCTGCGGATACCTGGAGAACAAGGTGAAGAGTATAAAATTCCTCATGGTGATTGGTTCGAAATCGTGTCTTCTCCACACTATCTTGCTGAGATCGTAAGTTTCTCCCTCATGAACTTAAGTATGTCACTAAATCTTAGCTATTACTGATCGGTTTTGTCTCTTGTCCTTTCCCTTTTAAAGGTTATATATGGTGGACTTGTGGTCGCTAGTGGGGGAGAAGACTTAACAATCTGGCTAATTTTTGGATTTGTGGTGAGATTTTTATTTTTTCTGAGAATTAAAATGCAGTTTGATCTTTTCTTCTGTTTGTTCATATTTACCAACCATACTTCTATACTTGGAACTGAAGATGGAGAAGGTAATAATCTTCTGTTGGGTGTTTGCAGGTGGTAAATCTGGCCTTAGCTGCAGCGGAAACTCATAGATGGTATGTTCGTAAATTTGATAATTATCCGAGAAATCGGTTTGCTATTATACCATATATATACTAAGCTATTGTGATGTTCTCAAGTCTGTCTTAATTAGTTAGGTTGCTTGTTTTTAATCCCTCAAGGTAATTTTAATCATGTGTAAAAAATTTCTGCACTGCACTGCACTGCACTGGAGTTGTAGTCCATATATTTGGTGGCCTGAATGCTCGTTCAATGATTAATTAGGCTGATTATGGAAACAGAAAAATTTAATAAAATTGCGACCAGTTTAGAAGTATAGTTCTCTAATCAATTGGGGGTTTATAGTATAGAATTGAAAATAATTGATTGGTTTGATTCTGATGGATTCAAGTTGGATAGCTGATTTGTTTGGATTCTCATGAACTAGTTTCAGTGTCTTCTATTGGTTATAAACTTTCGAGGAAGAGATTAAAAGTTCGAATATTTTCATCTGTACGGTAAATAGTTCTATTGAGTAGATCCATGTCCTCTTTTGCAAGCCGAAAATAAAAACACTTCGAAATTCTCTTCCGAACTCTCCGGTTTTTTCGATGTCTTTGGTATAACAACGGTGTTTGTTTGGACGCTCCACACTCTTCCTAGGTTTCTTAGTAAGTCCCTATCGAACAAGAAAGAGGCTAGATAGGAATTGCGTAGGAAATAGTGATTTAAGTTGTTTTTGAAAGATGAAATAATACTCAAATGTTCTAAATGTGTTGAAATTGATCGGCAACTGATCTTAAAGAAAGATGAGCGATATTATTAGCTCGATCAGGCGTGCTTTTACATGAAGTGTTTTCTTCCAAACTAATGTTATTAGGATTTCAATAAAAGGGCACTAAATACATCCAACTATTATAGTTGATGCTTCTTTAAGCTATCCTTGCAAGCATCAAGAACAGGCCCATGGTCTGAATTCTACCTTTAGCGTCTCATGTCTCGCATTCATATTAGAATCTCGAATTTGGCACAAAATTAGTGTGAGTTTATGTTGAACCATAAAATTTTTATGATTAAGTCACCGAAAAGAAAGGTGCACATTGTTAATACAAGTAGTGACTTTCAATTATTCTAATATTTTCTTAGGCATCTTATCTTCTCAATTGTTTTCATTTGAATGTGATATCAGATCATTTATATATCTCTCATTTACTAAATGTCGGATTTTAGGATTACTTTATGTTTATCTTTACTGTGTGGTTAAAGACAAAATAAAATAAATTTATGAATTTAAAAAAATACTTAAATTCATTTGGTTTTAAAAGTTTAAAAAGTTTTATAAAAAATTCTATTAAACTATTTTATGAACCAGATAATTGTTCTCTTACAAACTTATACTTTCTATTGATTTTATCGTTTCACGATTCTTATATCGTACTTATTCCTTTTATGGAGAACTATCTGAACCTTGATCACATTCAAGTGTTTTTCCGTGTTTGGCTTTTCATAATCAACATGGTGGGTTAATTTTTATGAACTCTCCTCACATTATTTTTTCCTTTATTTTTTATTTATATTTTTTTCTTTCTTATTATTTTACACTTTATTATTATTATTATTATCATATTATCATTTAATAAATTATTGTTGACCTAACATGTATAATTAATTATTCAATTTGATGACCATGTTCAATATTTATAATTAAATTTTTATATACAAATATAAGGAAGTGTTTATGAGGTTTGTTATTCAATTTGATGACAATATCCAATATTTATAATTAAATTTTTGTATACAAATATAAGGAAGTACATTTTTTTAGCTCAATTCAATTTGTGCCTATTTTTAAAAAACTCAAATCAATCCCACCTATATAATTAAAGGTTAGTAAAATATTTATTTATTTCAAACTTTTAATTAATATTTTCAACTAAGTTATTTTAAATAGTTATAGAAGAATAAATAATAAAAATAATAATTAAAAAATTTAATAAATACATTATATAATTAAATGGTAATTTTTTTTTCCTTTTTTAAAAAACTAACGGGTCGCTGATTTAATCAAATCTAATTTTAGGATAACTTATGAATGAATTGAACCAACCTCAGTTGGTTTAATGTGATATATTTTTAGTGGTTTGTAATCTTCTTAAATCCACTAATGTATTAAATGCAATAAAAAATAATAATCTTTCAAACATTTTAATATTCTAAAAAAAAAAGTAAAATTTAAAAAAATTTAGCAGACTCCGTCTAACGTCCTAAGTGTGCTGCAACTAATTGGGCTTTGCAAAAGAATCGGCCCAATATTAGGCCCAGGTTCAGGCCCAGGCCCAAAAGATACATAGCGTGGCGAATACGAATTCGAGCATCTGGTTTGCTTTTAGTATCTCGGGTTTCTAAATCTGATGCTTAAACGATCAAACCAATCAAACCGATCAAACGGTCTCCTTCTCCCTCTCTGCGCTTCCTCCAGCGACCGATCGTTCATCGGCGTCTTGCTTCTCCGTTGTTCGTCTCCGGTACGGCTGAAGTATTGTCATGTCTTGCATATATAAGATTCGAATTCTATGATAGTTAAGATGATGTTCTGGTCGTTTGCTTGCTGAGAAAGCTGAGTGGCCGAAAATTTGAATTTTCCTTATCTTTGCGTTTTTTCGTATGTATAAACGCATTCGTTTTTTATTAGGATTATTTTGTGTTTCTTTTATCGGAAATATAAGTTGTTTGTTACCTGTGGCCGAAGAAAGATAAACATAGCAACTTAAGGTGCATTCAGTCTGATTTTTGGTTTGCTATTGATTGGTTGTTGTTGGTGCGAGTTCTGAAATTTTTTCATATTATGGTATAGTTTGCCTTGGTTTTTGTTTCTTTCTTTGTATCTTTTGTTTCATGTTTGACATTGAAGCGGAATGGAAGTGAGGATTTGCTTTCTTTCTTTGTTTTTATTTTTACTGCTGTTTTGGTGATGAATCAGTTTGATGCAAGAGATGTTCTTATAATAGCTACTAAGCGGTTTAAGTTATGCCGAGGTTTATGATTTTTTACTTTTCATACATCTGGTTTTCTCACATATTTTACAACATGCAGTTCTTCGTCGGTCCGTTGGGAGCCTGTAAGAGGTTAATTATCCGTTGTGGAACTCTATAAAAGCTCTATAAAATGGTATGCATGCCCTTTTCAGCTTGTTAAAAATAGAATCTCTGACGTTATGTGAAACGGCATTGGATTCTTATATTATCTGTGTGATGAGAAAATAAAGAAAAGCTATGAAATTATCTCAATGTTTATGATGAGGATTTGAATTTCATCGACCCACAGAAGGTTCTACTTTCCCTCAATTTAAGAAATCGCTGCTTTCTGCTTTTAGATAACTACATTAGTGCGTTGTGTTAATCCTAGACCTAAGACGTGTTGCTTGTTCTGGCTGTGGAACGCAACTTGATTTATCCAAATGTTTGATATTTATTTCTGCTCTCTGAAACCTGCTAACTGCTATGATTTTTGGTAGATGATCATACCACTCCAGTTTTTTTTTCCCCCCCTAAATTTCTTTTCGATTTATACTCTCACTTGGTAGAAGCAGTTTGTTACTTAAACAATTGACGTTCGTTGAAGTTTACACTTTACTCTAACTGTGCCTACGTTGTTACTATTTCTGCAATTCACTGGCCTTCAACTCTCCATCTTAGGAGGGTTCTTACTGTGAAGATATAATTACATTTTTCTAAAAAAAGAGATTGGTTAGCTTTTGTAGTCATATTGCAATTAATGTTCTCTCTATCTTTCTGCATGTGCAGTATTTTGATGGGTATGATGGCTATGGTTATCGTGGAGCATCATTTGAGCAAAGATATCAATGCTTCTCTGCATCATTTATTGATAAGGTTTGACTACCCTCTACATCTATCACCATTTTTAGAAATGTTCTCACTTGGCGTTTGAGGAGGTTCTTGGCTTCATTGCATTTTCATTGTTTAGTAATTAGTATGCATATCAAAGGACTTCTTCATGCTAGAAATTAAATGTAGGCAGCAGTTGCAATATGCTCTTTATTTGTTTGAAGCGTGAGCATGTAATAAGCATTGCTCTTGCATTAATTTTTTTAAAAGCTTGGAATTTCACGTAATATCACACAACTGCTGCTCATGTCTCTAATTTGTAGGTCAATACAGTAGAAGGTAAATATATATTGGAATGTTGCTTTTCATCTTAAAAGGCCTTTCAAGTATCTGTTTTTGCATGCATAAAACTGAACTGTTTTCTTTCTTCCAAAATAGATAGTTTCTTCTAATTTGAGTTAATCTTTTCATCCTGCAGCCACACATTGAAACTGGAGATAGAAGTAAGATATTCTGTTTTTACCATTTTTATTGTTTAGTTTCTATGTCCTTCATAAAGTATTTTTCAATTTCATCTTCTTTATCTCTCATGTTGTTTATTTCTTTTTTCTTTTTTTTTTCCCAGTTATAATGCCTCCATCAGCCCTTGATCGCCTTGGTTTGTTTGCATATGTCTAAAATTAATTTTTGTATGCCTGTTTTATCTATGGTTCTTCTCATTGTAGTTGACTGCATTTTAAACATAAACCCATACAGCTTCATTACAAATTGATTATCCAATGTTATTTGAGCTTCGAAATGATGACACTGAGCGAGTCTCTCATTGTGGGGTATTGGAGTTTGTTGCAGAAGAAGGCAGGATTTATATGCCTTATTGGGTAGGGTCCATATTTCTCTTGCGTTATATGTATCCCAGGTGTTATTAGCTCTGTCTTACTTTTCATCCGAGGATTCTTCTAATTGTTTACCCTTCAGATGATGGAGAACATGCTTTTACAAGAAGGAGACCTCTTGCATGTGAAGAATGTCACTCTTCCAAAGGGAACTTATGTTAAATTACAACCTCATACAAAGGACTTCTTGGATATCTCCAATCCAAAAGCAATGTGAGCTAACTTTTCAAGTTTTGGTTCATGTGTCTAGTGTTGTTCGCTACTTATTAGTATTTCCAGATTGGGTACATAGGAATGTGTTCTAAAGTTGAAATCCTCTGCCACTTATTTAATTTGAACACCAATGCGCTAACCTCTGTTAATTTAGCCGATGTCACGTATATTTTTACCTTAAGCCCAATAAGTACACAAAATCTTGAACATCAAAGTGCTCACCATGCGTTGGCGTTGATCCAATGGTTAAAATAAAAAGCTTCTCAAATGTCTTTGAAGTTATGAGTTCAAAAGCTCAGGTGTCACTTGGAACATTGAGTACTACGGGAAAACTTTTTGACATCAAATGTATGTTTTAGGATTAGACTATTGATTATTAGGAATAGTTAAGGTGCATGCAAGCTAGTCCAAATCTATACGTATGAAAGAATGCATTGACTACAGCCTGCTTGGAAGTTCTTTTGGTCTTTCAAGGACATTAGTTACTTGATAAAAGTACCCTTGAGAAAGTTCTATGGTCAATATCAAATTGGTATTTTCAAACTGTCCATACTTGATTTCACAAGTGACAGGACAAATGAAAGCTAATTTTTTTATAAAACAGAAAAATTGTCTGTGCTTGGTAGTGAAGGAAATGTTCAATTTTAGAACATTGCTCGCAAACACTTTTTTGAACTCTTTCATAGTCTTAATGGGGAAGGTGGTGGTCTTTCTTTTTTGTTTAGGTAGATCACATGTGATTTCTCTATCTGTATCTCTAAGGGTTGGTGTGATGAAGTTTGTTTCACACAACATATTATTTTTTTTTTTCACACAGCTTAGAGACTACACTCAGGAATTTTTCTTGCCTCACCACTGGGGGCAGTATTATGGTGGCATATAACAACAAGAAATATTACATTGACATAGTCGAAACAAAGCCATCCAATGCAATAAGTATCATTGAGACAGATTGTGAGGTGGATTTTGCACCTCCCCTGGATTACAAGGAACCAGAGAAGCCTACTGCACCAATCAGGGGGAGGGAGCAAGGTGCATAACTTTTACTCTTTTTCTCCAATTCTTACTGCAATTTAGTGCTGCTTCTGTTGTTTTTCTGTTTTTCTTTTTATCAGTTTGGCGATTTCTCTCATTTGATCAACGCTTATGAAGTTGATATTTTATCCAAGCAGTTTATTAGCTTGTAACCTTACTGTAGATTGAGTTTTCTAGTTGCCTGATGTCGTAGTATTTAGTAATCTCGTTGGAGACCATTTCTTTGGTTTGGCCCTTCTTTTCTTGGACTCTTTTGTTCACGGCGTAGTGTTTAGTAATCTCGTTGAACAAGGCCACTGATTACTATGTTTAGGTATAGTGCTTACCCATTTAAATTAATTTTCACATTTGCTGCAACAAAACTTGGAAGGTATGCATTTAGGAACAAGGCAGTCTGTCAAGTTCTCATTGAACTCTTGCAGTTGCAGAAGCTCAAGCAGAAGAAGCTGAACCTAAATTTAGTGCTTTCACGGGAACAGGAAGACGTTTGGATGGTAAATCTTCAAGTCACCAGTCCCAGCCTATTTCATCTGCTAAGTCATCTGAGGAGAAGCTATCCGGTGCTACTAGTAGACATGGCCCTTCACAACAGTCTGCTGGATCTAGCTCAGTCAATGGAACTCGTCAGGCTCAGGGAAAGTTGGTATTTGGACAAAATGCTAATCAAAATCCTAAAGGAACTTCAAAGGTACTCACTTAGCATTTATCATTATGGTGAAAAAAAAAATCATTAAAAAATATATATTACTATATCCATTCAATGAACTATAAAGCAGGTGATTCTAATGTTCAAATTTTTGTTAAAATTGGCGAGTTTTGGAGAAGTTATTTTATTTGTTGATCAAACTTTCAAAATTAAAATTTGCATTTCTTCCTATCATCTTATTTCGCACTAGCGTTACATTATTAAAAAAATGAATAAAAATAACCGATTCTCTTTTGCCATTTTTGTAGGAAGCAACAAAGGAGAGTAAACAAGAGCAGCCAGAAAAGGAAGTACCTAAATTCCAGCCCTTCTCTGGCAAAAGGTACTCGCTTAGGGGTTGAATATATATCACGTATATATATAATTTAGGCTCAAGTTGTTGATGACATTCACGTAGCGGAGCGGAAGCATTGGAACCCTTTGATTATATTATGAATTAATAGAAACTCGATTATTATGAATTAATAGCTTGCAAGTCGTTGAAGTTTTTCAATCCTGCAAAAACTCTTTAACATTCCATGAAATCTTTCTTGCTATGGCTCGAACATAATGTCAATGCTTGTGGAAGTCTCTTGAATGAAAATTCCTAAAGGATGGGAGAATAATAGTTTCGAGAATTCTTTAGAGATGTAATTTCATTCTCTCGAGAAAGTGGGAGAGATTGATGTGTGTTTGACTCAACCCGAGGGGTCCTCCACTTGGAAAATATTTGCATATTTAATATATTAGGATGTTATACCTTACCATATATTATAAGATATCCTTAATATATATTTAACTAATTTGAATCTCATTCAAATTTTAAACTATTTAATTAATTAATTTTCATTCATTAACTATAGGTCACTCCATTATAGATATAGAGTTGCACTCTTATGTAGTAGGACAAGTTATGTCCATTGATATAACTATTACAAGCTTCCGATCATAAATCAAATCTCTCAGGCCAATGAGAGGGTGAGATTCTATTATTCAAGTCATTATGGGTTAAAAATCCGTTTTACCCTAATTATATCTTTCACTTAGTACTAGATTCTCTAATGAACAATTTGTTTATGATCTAATTATATACTAAGTCCCTCTTGGAAACTCCCTATTTGGTTAAGTCCCAAAATGGTAGGCATATTGAATTTACTAAAATAGTGATTTAGAAATTAAATGTTTAGTCATTTTCACCCTGTAAATTAAATGACAAGCCCACCATGGAAATTTCCAGCCATGTAAATTAAATGACAAGTCCTTAAGCCCTCACCAACCATATAACCCAAGAAAATTAGTTCATAACTCACTCAGGATTAAGATTGAGTATCATATGATCGGAATATTAATTTTCTCAATTAATGGATTTATAAGGAGTGATTAAATATTTCTTGATCCAATCTTATACAAACTCATGGTATAGGATACCCCATTTATATGTCCTCCACATGAATGATTTAGATCAAATCATTTGTAACGATTATAAAGTGGGCCGTATCAATAGTGTTGCCAAGATAAGGCACTCAACATTATTCATATACTATGGACTCTTTAATTAATCCTCTTGTAAGTAAACCACATATTGTTCAAGATTACATTAAAAACTTTGAATTTGAATTTTCATACCATCAATAACAATTAAATTACAAATAAAATAATAAAAATTACTATTAAAACTTAAATAATTAATTACGAGACTTTATAGCATAAAAATTACTACATACCTTAAACCTCCCAATCATATATTTATGACCTTCCCATTCCGTTTCATTTGAGCGGGAAACCGAAACCAAAACCAAAAATCAAATTACTGAACAAAAAATCGACCTCCTCAATAGTGTGTTATGATATATATATATATATATATATAAATGGAAGATGATGCTACTATTCTTCAGATTTTATATTTGATTCCCTTGGGAAAGAATGGCCTTGAGTGCGTCTTTCACAGACGGGTACTTGAATGAAAACCCCAATTCCTTGGCTCTCGCAGGCACTACCCTTTGCCCTTCCAAAACCTGCAAGAAATTCAGGTGTTCTTATTGATCTGAGGCTAACAAATTGGCCTGAATTAATCAGCCTATTTACTAAGAACTTTATGAAACTCCTTAGAAATTGTTCATTACGTCTTTGAGCTTAGAACTTCTTGTCTAAGAAGTTGTAGGGTTCTAATAGAGGCCTATGGTTTATAGGATTAATTTAAAGAGTGAAAAGGAAGGGATAAAAGAGAGAGAGAGAGAGTGACCACAGAAGCTCCATCTCCAAGGACGGCTTTGAGGGCGAAGTCAGGTACGGGAAGCCATGAAGGTCTGCCCATGGCGGCTCCCAACCGCTCACATAATTCAGACAATTTAACCGGGTTAGGTGCCGTTCCATTTATTACACCTGTTTTTGTCCATAAATAATACATGATTAGCTTTAAATAAGGCTAATTCTGCGTTTTTTTTTTATTTTAATTTTTATAATTAAAATTTTATTACCCTTATAAGATGGATTCATCAGTGCTTCATATATTAGGTCCACAATGTCATCCAAATGGATCCAGGAAAACCTGCAAACTCATTTTACTATAAAATTCAATATTAAGTCAAAAAAAGAAATATATTTTGTTAAAACAAAAATTAGAAATGAACTTTTCAAATCATAGGGATTAAAATTATCCCCTGACTATAGGGATCAAACTTGTAATTTTAATAAAAAAAAAATGTATAATGGAGTCTTGGGGGAGAGTATTACCATTGTTTTCCAGATCCCAATGGACCTCCAGCATACATCATGAAGAGGGGGATCATTTTGGCTGCAAATGCACACAGATAAATATGGATTCAAAAAATTAAAAATAAAAAAGATTTAGAAATTAACATAGACCTTTTCAACTTCAAGTAATTTAATGTGGAAAGCTGATTTAACAAACTATATAATAATTAAATTTAATATTTTGTTTTGTTTATAATGGTCTATTTGGTCTAAAGTTTATTCTATTTTAGTCCCTATAAAAGACGAGAATCTTTAGAAAAAGTAATCCTTATAACACAAAAGTACGATAATTTTTAGAAAAATTAGTCAGAGTGGAAAATTAGGTCGAAACTGTGATTTAAAAAAGAAAAAATAAAAAGTAAAACAAAAGGACGAGAATGATAACGTTTAAAAAGTACGACGACCAAAATAAACGTGTTTTCGAACAAAGTGGAAAAAAGCTAACAAATTAAACCTAATAATTAAGAATTTTTCCATACCTAAAGCACCACCTTTACCAAGAACAACGCCTATACGAATAAGAGCCACTCTGACATTCTTGTTTACTCCCAGGGCTGTTGCTTCCCATTCCCTACAAACCTGGAAAATCACTGTCTTAAGCAAACACCCGAATGAAGGTAGACAAGATGGTGAAGAATTTCAATAACAAAAAGAAGGAAATCTTAATACTCGTCGATAAACCGCTCACACTAGAGAACGGTCGAGTGAATTACAGGATGATGTATAATTTCATGACTCCATTTTGATGATACAAAGTTTTACTAGCTCTATCTTAAGATACTTGTGGCAAAACAGTTCCCATCACAAGCTTGAACTACAAAAGATTAAAAAAAGGACCCAGAATTGTCACTATGCTCTATTATTGATGGAAATTTGGTTGAAACACGAGCGAAAGATTGTGCTTTAACTCTTTTCATCTTCGTTTACGAAGAAAAACAAATAAAATCGCTCGTTAATTAGCTCTATCTAACTACTCTCCTCACCTCGGCCAAGTAATCGTTTCCGGATGGGCTTCGTTCGTCAAATATTGCTGTTTCACTTGTGCCTGAGAGAGAGAGCAAAAGGAGTAAAGTTTAGATTATGTATGTGATCCAATAGAAGATTATATGATTCTCACATCAAAACTGAGAAACTGGGCAGTCCCAATACGAAAAGGATGAAAAAAAAAACGAAATAAAATAGTGTGATCTGTTCTTTCAGATAGTTTTTCGAGATGGAGTCGAGTAAATCAGATAGAAACACGTACCGTAGTAACCAACAGCAGTTGAGCTAACAAGAACAGTAGGGCGAGCAGCATCTGGCGCATTGTTAATTAACCTTACAACCTTCACATCAGTTAAGTAACCATGTAAACGAGGCATTAAATATTGCTATGTATCAGATTTTGCATTTGTAAGCTAGAAATGGAAAGAAGTCCCTTAAACTGTTTGCAGTACTCTATAGTTATGTTCGATAACTTCTTACCTTTGAGGTGACTCTGATCCTGCTTTGCTTGATCTCTTTCTTGATCTGTATTACAATGGGCACAAATTATATATTATAGATTATATAAACAGTTCTCAGATTGTCAAACCAGTAGGGTAAGAGATAATGTTAGTTGTTTCACATACAACTACAAACTGTCAGATCGACCGATCAAAAGCACGTCCTGAATCTAATTCTACAAAGACGGTTCATCTAAAAAGGATCTGGTTTTCAGTTAGTGAATATGCTAATTGTCATAATCGCACTTTTCTTGGCAACGGACTTTGCGATTATGCGGCACTCACTCCCAACACCGAGTGAGTCAAGCCAACTGGGATTCGCGTCACCTAGGGCCGGACAACGTATGCTCAAGCCTCTGGCTCTGTTTTGAGAAGAAGGTTTTAAAAAGCAGGGGTAGAGAGATTTTCGAAAGCGAGTTTGAAAGTAAGAATGAGGGAAGATTTGAAAGCAACATTATATAACTATAAGCAAAAGGAAACACAACATCTCCCTATAGTACATTTTGAGGCGATTCAAGTATGGCAAACCTAGACGTGATTTCGTCGAACGTTCATACAAAATCAGGGAGAGGAGTTGACAACTAGTCATACCTCCCTATAGTATGTTTTGAGGCAAATCAGGTCTGGCATGCCTAGACATGATTTCGCCGAGTAGTCGTACAAATAGAAATACAATAGTAAGGAAATACAATACAAAATTAAATAAAGGGTTCGGCATCAGCAACACGCCCTAAACGAGCATGACCGTGACACTAAGCTCTATCCCAAGATTAGTTTTTAATTACCGTACATGTAAATAGTATTTAACTGAACAGTTTATTACTTGCTTGTGTAGTATATGGGACCATAAATCATGCTAGAAAGGGTCAAAATCCATAGGAAATATGTACTAACCTCAGAAGACCACCTGGTACTTATGGGCATCCCAGCCAAGTTAACAACACCATCTGAACCTTGGATGCAGTCTTTCCACCCTGGCTCCTCTGCGATCACGATTCCTGGAAATTCCCTAGCTACAAAGTGTGGGATGTAGTTCAATAATTAAGCAGAAGAAGATTCAGATGATACAGTAAAACAAAAAAAGACGATTGACATGTATTACCTTCTTACCCGGAAAAATCAACTCAGCTTTAGATTTAGAACGTGTCAGAACTCGAATATTATGGTTATCTATGACCAGAAACACATCAAAGAATTCTTAATCAGTCGTTTATCTACTACATTGTGAGAAGCAGATTGGAGCGGGAAGCTTAAAGATACAAACTATGGGGTAAAAAAAAAAGAGCAAGATTTGATGTCTTTGGTTTTTCGAGATGTCTAGCTTGATGTATAGAATATAACCTGCATTTAGCCGTCGCACAAGTCTTCTACCGATGAAGCCTGTAGCTCCAGTTATTGATACAGTGAGCTGATTTTTCTGTAACAATTTTTTAAAACAAGAAATTGAGCAGAGAAAAATGAAAGAACACAAAAGGGCTTGAAAAACAACTAAAAAAATAGGACCTAACCAAAACCACAGACCTAACTAAGAAAATGACCTTCAAAATTTCAACCTTGAATTTCTAGAAGCATAATGGCTACCCGAAATAACCAAAAATGAACAAGGGAACACGTATGAGGCATTAAGGAACCAAAAACGAATATGCCATCTAGTCAGATGAATATGGAAGTTTCCCAATAAAGAAAAAAGAGCAGATACTCACATGATTCCCTGTTCGAAAGAGGATGAAAACCAAAATTAAAAGACCAAGCTATGGGACACAACCTCAAGGAGGAAAGGGGGTACAAGCAAGGGAACAAAGTACAAAAAGAACTATCACTGTAACAGCGCTGTTACAAACTCACCGCTAGCAGATATTGTCTGCTTTGGCTTGTTACATATCGTCGTCAGTCTCATAGTTTTAAAATGCATCTACTATGGAGAAAGTCTAGCCCTACTCCGACCAATGCCTCGCACCGTCCGTCCGGTGATCGACTTTTATACATTTTTAACAACTCAAACCCACCGCTAGCAGGTATTGTCCACTTTGGCCTGTTACATATCGCTCGCAGCCTCACGATTTTAAAACGCATCTATTAGGGAGAGGTTCACACACCCTTATAAGGTAATGTTTCGTTCTCCTCTCCATCCGATGTAGTATCTCACAATCACCCAACCCATAGTCCTCCAAAAACTAGAGTGTTTGAACCATCTCCAACTGAGCACTTCACAGAATTAGAAAAGATGGGAAAGTCCCAAGAGATGGCCTTCGAAGAACTCTAGAAAGTGCCTATAAACCCACAAACCAAGGCTCACTAGAGAGAGTGAGGACCATACTTCTACTTCAATGGAAAACGCCACAACCATTTAGTCAATAGAGCTTCATTACGAAATCTCAAATTACCTAGCCCCATACGATCAATAACAACAATAGCTAAAAAAATATAGGAAAACAATAATCAAACACAGGAAATACGATCAACAAACTGACTTCAAATTAACACACATTACAATTCTCAATTACAATAAAACATAAACACAGAAATTCAAGAACATACCATCTCTGTTTCATCAATGGCGCAGAAAACCTGAAGTCTCTTGCCACATATCTTCAAGCAAAAGGAGAATTTAAAGTAAGAAGAACAGAGAAACCACAAACTCCTCAACGCCGAAGCAAAGCTAATAAATGAGATCACGAGAATCGAACACTTACCGCAAGGTGTTGAGGGATACGAATAGAATGGGAGACAGTACGGCTCCATGAGAGAGAAGTGGCGCCAGAGAGCTTCATTGAAGGGAATAACGGCGGGTGGGATCGGAAAGCTCTATCGGCGGCGAGAGGGAGAAGGAAGAAAGGAAGAATGAAAGGTGAAGATTAGGTTGGGATGGATTTGATGGACCAGGTTGATCTTCTTGAGATCAGGAGGCGGGAGAGAGCCATCTCCATCACAAAATTAAGCTCTGTGAGACTGAAACAAATGGTTCTCGGGTGAAGCTGGAGTGGAGGGGAATTAAAGTTATTAAATTGAGATATATATTTTTTTAAGATCAAATTAAAAAAAAAAACAATTAATTTTAATAAGAATTTAGGAACAAACTCCGACCATAATTTACTAATTTTCTAGAAGTCGTGTCGCGTGCTTAATGTCACGATCTGCAATACGATTGTGTCCCGAGTAAGTCATCAAGGACGATGACTAAGTTAAGTGGGGGAGAATGTCACAACCATACTATGAAAGAGAGTAGGTTATTACCCTCACGTCATGACAAGCAAAGCGGCGTCCCTCAAGAGACGCTCATCCAGCCACATACGAGCTAATATAGAAGAGTGTCATGATGCGACCAGAAGATGTCGTGGTCGGGCTTACGAGCCCACCTTGTGCAACTCAGAGGATACACACATTGAGGCCAGGTTGGCCACAACGGGGGAAAAGTGCTCCTTTTAAGTCCATAGTCGTCAGGTGAGTGTCTGTAGAAAGAGTCAGCCTCACCCACAGCTATGGCAAACACTGAATAGCCACGTCTACATTGCGAGTCTCAGTGGCCGAGTTCAAGATGGGCAAACAACAAAAATAGGTCTGAAGGGGGATAGCCCGTAGATAGTGTGCACAAGTTTTTGTATTCGTCTAAAGCACGTTTGTTTTCTAGCAAGTCAATAACAAGCTAACTAGACTCCGCTTCCATAGTATTTAGTACCGCGAAGAGTAATATCGTGGTTGGCTTGTGAGCCACACCTCGTGAGGTGTACCGTTATTCGTCACTCAAAAAGTATGCAAATTGGCCAAGAGTAGTACCAAGCTAAAGCCAGAACGAAAAATATATATGGGGCTTAATTCCCCTTAAGGCTGGTTGTGATCGTGTCAAGATCACGACGCTGCACGGTAAAAAATGTAGGACCTTGACAATTGGTATTAGAGCCACACTTTGTGCATCTAGTCGGACCAGACAGTCAAGAGAATGAACCCAAGAGTTTATCGAAGACTTTGCAAGTGTGTCAAGAGTGCTAGAGTGGGCAGAACAATGCAACAAAATGGTGTTGGCGTATTCGTATTTTAATGTATATGGTTAGAAATATGTTGAATAATTTATCTTTTACTCGTGTCCTTATGGAAGTATGCTTTCAGGACCGGACCGCTCAATACTTATTAAACAATGTTCATAGTACATCAGTTCCAAGATAGGAAGGAAACTTAGTTTAAGGCACTTGTTATATTTCGAGATGTTAAGTGGAAGTAAGTCTCATTCAACTCGAAAAGAAATGAACTTTAAATAAAAAAAACAAAAATAAAAAAAAAAAAACCAATGTGGAACATGACAATCCACCCCGTTCGGGTCCCTCTCTTATTCTCTGTCTAAACAGAGCATGTTGCTCCTCCCCAACCAACATGGGACACATGACAATCCACCCCCCTTCGAGTCCCTCCCACATTCTCTGTCTAAAGAGAGCACACTCCTCCCCAACCAATGTGGGACATCACAATCCACTCTTCTTTAGGGTCCAGTGTCTTTACTAGCAGACCATTTGGTGTCTGGCTCTAATTTCATTTGTCGTTACCTAGGTCCACCGTTAGTAGATATTGTCCTCTTCGGACTTTTCCCTTTTGAACTTCCCCTCCCCTCAAGACTTTAAAACGCGTCTGCTTGGAGAAAGTTTCCACACTCTAACGTGTTTTTCCAATTTGTTCATTATTTGATGCTACACAATATGTTAATTTAAGCTAACAATGAAATGATGTGGCTACGAAAAGTTGGGCTTCCTTAATGGGCTAAAGGCCCAGCCCATATTTTCCAATACACTCGACATATTTTACACCCTTTTTGCCTCCTTCATTACAGTTGTTGGGCTCTGAACCAATCTTGCAAAGGAAAACAAAAAGGCGATGATGCAGTGGTGTGGCGCAGTAGCTAGGGGAGTGATGGCGGCGGAGCGCCGGTCGCCTTCACTAACGTCGTCAATGGCGGTGGAAGGACTGGTTCCGATCCTTTGTGGACGAGGTGACAAGAAGACGAAGAAGGGGAAAATATTCAAAGGCTCGTACGGCAACTCCAGGCCGAAGAAGGAGAAGAAGATTCAGCGGATCAAGGACAAAAACGAGGTTCCTAGTTCCACTCCTTGGCCTCTTCCTTTCAAGCTCATCTGATTTGATTTTTTTTGTTTTTTTTAATCTCTGGTTTCATAAACTGTTAAGATGTTTCTCGAGGTTTAGGGTTTATGTCAGGTCAAGATCGATTGTAGCCGAAGTTGGAATTGATCTAATGTGAGTGATTGATCGTCTTGCTGGTGTGTACGGTTCATTTTATCAATCTAGAATTGAAATTTGACTCAGATTCATATCCTTTGAATGTTATCCGAAAAATTTTCGAGATTATTTTGGAATGAAAATGGATTTCTATAGATCAGTCAAAATTTTGGGGAGAAAAAACTCCAAATTCTTAATACTGCAAGTCTCCAATACAGGCTTCAACAGCCTGCAACTTAACGCTATGGATTTCATTAGAAAATTAACAATAAACTATGACCAATTTTTAAGATTTTCTGAAATTAGAATTGATAAGATTAGCCTAAATTTTTCTAAATTTCTTATGTATTGAGCATGACTAGAGATTAATTTTAGTTCTTGTACTTAGATTTCATAAATATTTTAAAATTATTAGATCTTAATTTAACTATAAACTATTTATATTGTTTTTTTCTGCTTCAATAATAGTTTTGAAATATTTATAAACCTTTTAATATTTATAAAAGGTTAAAACGGGTATTAAAACTTTAGAAAATTTACAAAAAATTAAGAGTATTTTTTTTTTTATAATTTAGTGCATACCCTTTATTTCTGTAACAATTATGGACATAAAATAAAAATTTTGAGACATTTAACCAACTTTATGAAATTTGTTTTGAGAATTAAAATAAAATAAATTTCGTTTTGAAAACAATTTCTCAATTTCTTATTTCAAAATGTTTTTCCTCAATAGTTCATCATCTTCATGATAAGCTTATTATCTTATTATTTTGAATATAAACTCCCAAAGTGTAGGGTGTGTTTCTTTACCACACACTCAAATATCCCAACCCTAAACAAAGACTACATAAACAATATTTTATTTTATTTTAATTATAATTATCTTGAACTTGAGTTAAAAAAGATTACATAAACAATATTTTATTTTATCTTAATTATCACGTCTAAGATTGAACTTAACTTCAATATTATAAGTGAAAACATTAAACATAAACATAATATAAGTGAAGCATAAAATTAATAGAGTAAAAACATTACATTAAACATAAACATTATATAGGTAAAAATTACACATTGACAAAGATTGACCCTGAGTATGAACAATGTGACTATAGCTATAGTAATGACGACTATAGCAATAGAAACTATGGGTATGATATGAAGTAAATATCGTACTACATCGCTACAACAATAGTAGTTATAATCAACTATTGTACTTGTGATTATAGTAGAGGTTATAATACATCGATTTATACACTAGGTCGACTACGCCTCTTAATAATGATCTTGATTCAGACTCATAGTCAATGGATTATCTTCATTCTTTAGAGCATTCGAGTTTATGAAACATAGTATAAGAAGTATCCTCCTATTGATATGACATTCCTATCCTGCGTAACATATTTAAATTATATTAAATTTTGAACATACCATGAACAGAGAGCAATACTATCAAATTAATTACAATAACATTGATTTAACGCCTATAACGTCATTATCATATCTTCAATCAATAATAATCCAATTTGAAGAGAAAAAAGGAAAAGAAAGAAAAGAAAAAAAAAAAAAAAAAAAAAAAAAAAAAAAAAAAA